CTGGTAATGCTTACAAAAAGTGAGGATATTCAAAATTCCTTAAAGGGGAGAGAAAAGGAATGCGCACCTAATTTCCCTCGACCTAAGAACTATTGATAAAGATGTCGAAGTTCATGACTATTATCCCATAAGGGATGAATGTGGGGGTGATGAAATTCACTTTGTGATGATGATGATTGAGGACTAAAGATCTCTAGTTTATCCTATACATTTATGAATTTGAATCTGAGCATTTTTTTTATTTTGGATCAACTGCATCTTATGTGTTTTATTTAGAACTTATTCCCAAAAAAAAAATATTCAGAACTTCTTAGTTAATTGTGCGTGATTTACTTATGTCATTTACTCTAATATGCCGATTGAACTACATCTTATGTAATTTACTCTATTAGCTTGGAAATTATTAGTATATTTTTCATTTTTATGAGAATTTAATGATTTTTAAAAGTGTTGTATGTTGTGGATTTAGACAGTCCTTGCACCATTCATTGTTGACAACAGCTGGATATTCTCATCACCAAACTTCTCGACCAATAAAAAAAAAGGACATAACATTTATTATATCTTCTGAAAAAGTTCATGAGAAAAGAATATGATCGCCACTTAAAAATTAGAAGATTTTCTAATAGATGGGGTCATGATCCTCAACTCAGATAAAGTCAAATACCTAGCCCAAATTTTCAAAAGGAGTAACTAGTAACATCTAGTCAACTTCATGTTTCTTATAAAAATAAAGAAAAACACTATAAACAAAAAGTTGCATGTAGAAAATTCAAAAAAAAAAAAATCATGATATCATATGCTTTTAATTATAGAACTAAAGCTAATAAGAACTAGATCACAATGTATCATAGAATAAAGATAATAAGAACTAGATCACAATGTTAAAGATAATAAGAACTAGATCACAATGTATCAATATAGCGACATTCAAAATCAACCTCTTTAACATTAGTAGGGCCCCTAAAATGTCGGTATGATATTGCATATCTATGTTCGACCTCTAAAAAGGAGCATATTGTTAGAGCGGTACCTCCTGGACTAGTCCAACCGGTCCTTCCTAGACCGGCTCTCGCTTTTTGGAGGCAGAATAGTCCGCCTATTTGAGGTGGAACATAGTCGCCTGGGTTGATTGCCCGCTGCTTGGGGTGGGGCTCAAGGGAATTTTGAATAAGATAAGAGGGGCTAGCTATGAGGGAAAGATAGGAGGTTGTTTGGAGATTTGGGAAATTATTGTATGCTCTTTTTTTTTTCCCTCTAAATTATTGTATGCTCAAAGTATGTTGTTTTCCTAGGTTAGGGTTATGGGTTATTTGTTGAAATTAGATTGTTCTTGGGGTGTTTGGGCTCTAGCCGGCGGCTAAGGATTTGGGAGAGCCAGATCTTCCTCTCCAATTGAAGATTCATTGTATCTTGTTTGTTTTCTTCCTTGTATCATAAATTAAAAAGTTTTTTTCACTGGTTATTCCTCTTAATTTTTATTGTGGTTTGTGTTTGGGGGCTGCTGAAATTAAATTTCAGTCAAGGAATATTGGATTTCTACAAGCACTTCCTATCAAATTGGCATCAGTGCAGTGTTTTGGGCTGAAATTTAAGTCCTCCCCACTGATTTGTGATGTGTTTTTCAGCATATTCTAATTGATTTTTGTTGTTTGGAGGCCAAATTCGCATCAAAGTTGTTTTTGTTGTTTGGAGTCTAGATCCGAGTACCCATGGCAGGAATAAAAGTAGAAGTGTTAGAGGGGGAGATCGAACAATTGAAATATGAAATTTTGGATCTCCAAACTCAATTTTTAGATTTCAAAAGTCAAATTTCAGCAATCCATGAGAATATCAATGGGAAATTTTCTATCTAGGAGGAGATGTTGAAGAAGTTGCTCGAGGGCCAACCCAAAACATCGTCGTCGGAGGCGAGGGAAGCTGTACGTAACCAAGAAAGTGGGGAAAACCCTAATCCAATAAGGCGAAGGGAAGATCAGGAGGCAGAGATTCTGGAGGGAGAAGAGAGAATGCATCCTCTAGAGCTTATTCCAAGGGAGGAGTCGTGTAGGGGGTATGAGGAGAGGCATGAGGGGGTCGGGCATGAATGAAAGGGTGTTGAATTTGAGAGGAGAGGAGCGGAATCTGAAAAAAAAAAAAAAAAAAAAAAAAAAAAAAAAAAAAAGAGGTTGATTATAACCAAAGAGGTGCTGAATTTGAAAGGAGATAGGCTAATTATGATCCAAGGGGTGTTGAATTTGAAAGAATAATGTATGATTTTGACAAAATATTAAGGGCGTAGAAGAGGGATACAAGGCGACCAATACAGACCTGGTGATAGTTTCAAGATTGCTTATTGGAACGCTTCCAAATCAGCAAGTGAGGGGACTTCTATGAACAATTTTCGCCCTAACACAGGTGGGGGCAGTGGTGGAATATCGTGAGCAGTTTGAGCACTTGGCCAGCAGATTGGACCTGCTTCAGGAGACTGTACTATAGGGGAACTTTATGAAAGAGATCAAATCATAGATTCAGGCGCCAATTAGAGTGACGAGTCATCGTGATTTGACAGAGGCTATGGAGCTAACCCAGTTAGTGGAAGATCAGAGGCACTTGGAGAGAGGGACTGGAGGCAGCAGCCCAAAAGATTCGTACAGAATGACCACCACCTTTTTGGCATCCAAGGAGACGACATCACATACTCTTAGGGAAACCTTGAAGGAGAAGACTATAGGAGGGAGACCTGGGAAAAACTTCAAGAAGCTCACAGAAATGGAGTTACAAGAGAAGAGGGTGAAGGAGCTTTGTTTCATATGTGAGGAGAGGTATACACCGGGGCACTGATGTTAGGACCGATCTCTTCAGGTTCTCACCATTTGTGATCACGAGAAAATTAAGGAAGGAGTCGTCTTTCCACCTTGAGAGCAAGGTGGGTATTTGGGAGGAGGTATTATTAAATCAATCCCACCTGGAGTGGTCCAGTCGGTCCTTCCTGGATCGGCTCTCTCTTTTTAGAGGCAGAACAAAGCCGCCTGGGCTGATTGCCTGCTCCTTAGGGTAGGGCCCAAGTGCCTTTTTGAATAGAAGAATGGGGGCAAGCTAGAAGGGAAAGATAGTATGCTTGTTTGGGGATTTAGGAAATTATTGTATTCTTTTTTTTACTATAAATTATTGTATGCTTTTTTTTTCCAAAAATTTATTGTATGCTTTTTAAGTATGTTGTTTTCCTAGGTTAGGGTTATGAGTTATTTGTTGAATTAGATTGTTATAATGGTGTTTGGGCTCTAGCCGGCGGCTAGGTATTTGCGAGAGCTGGATCCTACTCTCCAATTGAAGATCAATTGTATCTTGTTTGTTCTCTTCCTTGTATCATTAATTAAAAAGGTTTTTTCTCTGCTTACCTCTTAATTCTTCTTATGGTTTATGTTTGGGGTTGCTGAAATTGAATTTCAACCAATGAATATTGAATTTCTACGAACACTTCCTATCGCATACCCAAACCAATTTGCAATTTGAAATGAAACATTTACCGCTCTTCTTACCCCCTTATCACATGCTACATGCAACAATAAGTATTGTAAGAAAATGCATAACCTATAAATGAATAAATAAAATATCAACAAATCCAACATGTTTTCAATTTTGCAAACAAATAAATGAAGTAGACCACATCATGCATCATCAAGTAATATACTTCAACTCATGTCCAAGAGGCATTAATCAGAAATTCATCAATTTCCTACTTAAGAAAAAAAAAAGCCAAAAAAGTGGAGGCTAATGGAGAGAGGGGAGGAAGGGAAACTAGCCAACTACACCAACTCAATGCCACCCTCCTTCCTCCCTTGTCACATGCTACATGCAACAAAGTATTGTAAGGAAATGCATAACCTACAAATAAATAAATAAAATTTCAACAAGTCCAACATGTTTCCAATTTAGCAAAAAATTAAATGAAGCAGGCCGCATCATACATCATCAAGTAATAGACATCAACTCATGTCTAAGAGGCGTTAATCAGAACTTCATTAATTTTTCTACTTGATAAAAAATAGCCAAAAAAAATGGAGGCTAATGGACAGAGGGGAAGAAGGGAAATTTGTGCAGGTTTAGGTTTTTGTTCTATGATGTAATGTGGCTAAGATTCATGCATTTCAATTAACAACTTATTGCATGTTATTCCACATTTCCATGTAACTTATGTGTAATTATCACATCCATTGAAATGAAAAAATTAGAATGGTCTATTAAATAGACATTAGAAACCTTGGCATCTCAGAAAAAAACCATATTAAAAGAAATAGTACCATCTCATCAATCGATGATAGAGATAGATCCCTTTGGATTTCAAAACTTATATTCAATGCCTCCATACAATGTTAATATCAAGCAACCAGAGAGTTAATTATACATTCCAATTACAAAGTAGTCTCTACATCTACGCAATACCAAATGGTTTCTCCCACATGACATGCTCAAGTCTCTCATGGCATGGGCTGCAATGCAATCATGCAATAATTTCAAAGTTGCTATTGATTGAAATATGCACATGCAAACAATTTTGCTTGGTCGAAGGCACAACAAAAGATTTGGAATGTGTCATCAAAAGATCTAGAAAGTAATTAATGAGTTGAAGTCTCTGATGATATCTTATCTTGAACAAACAGCTGCAACTAGAGGCTATAATACAAAGTGGAAAAAAAATTAAATCATACACAGGATGGCATCGAAGAAAATTGGAACAACAAAATTAACAAAATATTTATCTGTATATGCTGATGATCAAATTTAGATTATCAATAAAAATGTGTCGCTGTATTTCTCGTAGCTACTCCATCAATGTGCACTTCAGAAGTAATATTTGGCATGCCAATGAGCCTGGTGGTAAAACTAAAGATATCGAACCCAATCCTATGTCATAAAATGAGTGCTTACAAGGAACTATATGCAGTGAACCTTGTAATCAAAATGGAAGGTCTCGAGTAAAGGTGTGAAAAAATTGCATGAGAAACCTTAGTTCTTACCTAATGACTCGTGTAAGGTCCTACACCATCCATGTAATCAAAGCTTTATTGTGTCCATGTGCCGCCCTGTCCCATTACAGAGCCGCCATAGTGTCCATGTATCTGTGATGCTCCATAGCCACCTATCACACTTGTTTTCGTGTAACCTCCAGCTCCACCCACCTGATTCCCAAATGTAGACTTCAATGCATGCACGCCATTATTGACCGTTTGCCCTGCAAAACCAGTTTACCCGAATGATTGTCAGTTAAAATATTGCCACTTGAATTTCTAGGATTGCACTCAAAGCTGAATATAATGCACAGTTAAACCCTTCTTCGGCGAACTATACAGAACAATACAGACCTGCCTGGTTGAACCCAATGCTGGCAACAGGAGGAACTATCAGATGTGCTGGTCCTCCAACTGAAGATGACATGCCACCCATAAACACAGCACCACCATTCCTTCCAATTTTAGGCCCACGAGCTCCAAACCCAGTAGAACCATGATGAAAGCCTGCATGATGTCCGCCACCCTGGGGAAGATTAGCCCCTTGCTTGTTATACTTTGGACCATCAACTGCCTTCTGGCAGTGCAAGATATGGCCTTCGAGGTTCTTATGTGGTTCCTCCAAAGCCTTTTTTGCACTCTCAGCACTCTTATAAACGAAGAGACAGAATCCCTTGGGTTTCCCCGTCGTTTTATCTAGACCTAAAGGTCCTTCCTCTATCTCCCCAAACTTTGAAAATAACTGCAGAAGTTTCTGAAGGTCGAGATCAGCTCCTACGTTGCTGACATAGATCTTCCGCTGGGTGTACTCAGATACAGGCAAAACTGGTGGCGGGGCAGGGACAGGGCCAATCGATGCTAGTTGGCAAGCCGCCATCCTGTTACCAATTTTCTTCTGCGGTTCCTCTAAAGCTCGCCGAGCGCCACTCCGGTCCTTGAAGAGTATGAAGCCGTAACCCTTGGACTTACCGGTAACCTTGTCAACAACGGCGTTACAATCCTCGATATCTCCATACTGGCCAAAAATATTGGTGAGGGTCTCCGCTGTTGTGTTCCAACCAAGGCCATGAACAAAGACCTTCCTGTGGGCGGGATCCACGTCAGCACTCTGTAGAATGGAATCACGAAGATCAGGGTGCTTCAAGGCGCCGTCTCGAAGCAGTGAGATCAGCTGCTCCTTAGCGAACGGCGCGAGAATCTTCTCCAAAAAGGCGGGGTCACTGCCGTCCTCATTATCATCGCCGCAAGCTACGACATCTGTGGGAGGGGGTTTAGCTGAGTCGGACGTATCCGGAACAATATCTGAGGTTTCAAGAGCTTGGGCTTTGAATTCCTCCTCACTAATTGGTTCCTCCTTGATGGACTGTCCACTTTCCGGCACCGGTGATCCTTCAATTGGGGCTTCGCTGGTTAAGGTAGTTTCGGGTTCTTCTATGGCCGTTTTCTCGTCGACGGAGTCGGGCTCAGGTAAGCCGGCAGTTTCTGGCTTGGCATCGAGCTTTCGTTTCTTCGCCATGGCCGCGATCTTAGAATTTGATCAGCTAGGGTTTGTAGATTTGACCGTCGAAATTTTGGCGATGAGCCGACTCCAGATGATTATGGGTGCATGTAAGGTTGTTCCACTTGGGTCTACTGTTTGTAGAGACGCAGAATGGATCAAATGTGTGTGCGCAAGGCTTGGGAGTTTTACTCTCAATTAAGAGGTGCTGAATTTAGAGAATTTATTTTGTGTAGATATGGGATGTAGAATGTTATTTAGAGATCAATTAAAATATGTCACGTCAGCAATATTAGCCACGTTACAAGCACACATGTAACGTGGAGCATTCTGATTGGTCTCCGAATGTTGTTCGCAGTCCGCACATAATAATTAATCCTGAATTTGAGCATTGCATATATATTATGTATGTTTGAGCACTGCTCCTAATTTCCCCTAAAAAAAAGTGTGAGCTGAAATATGCAAAAATTACATTACAATAGTATGTTGCTTTTTAGTATCCATATTATAATTCAAAGTCTTATTTAGCCTAAATTTAAAATAATATTCTTATAATTTTTAAAATAAATTTGCAATATAAAAATTTTCAATTCTGTAATTTTTTTATTAAAAAAATTATTTTAAAATAAGTAAAAAAAACTCTCCCAAAAAAACATAAATTTTCACTTTAAAAATAATTTTATTTTTTTAGGTAATTAGCTATTAATTATTCTTTATTAATCCAAATTTCATGTTAATTGTCTTATCATTGATTAACTTAGGCATAATTTATCGCATAATTTATTGAGCAGCATTTAAATTTCTGCTAGCATAAAATATTTTGTATTTCCTTTAATCCAAAATAGCTCCAATAATATAATCACTTGAATCATACATCAACTCAAAATGTAAAAATCAATCATGTGCAACAATAATAAATGTTGTGATTAAATGTTGTTTCAAAATTTTGAAGGCATTATGACAATATCATCAAACACAAATATAACATACTTTTCCAACAAATGACACAAAGATTTTGTGATATTGGAAAAGTTCTTAATAAATATGCTATAAAACTCATCATGTCCTTACAAATTCCTTATATCTTTTGTTGAAGTTGGATACGGCAAAATTTCAATAACATGAACCTTAGCCTTATAAACCTCTAATCCCTTTTCTGAAATCTTATGTCCTAATACTATCCCCTTGGCCACCATAAATTGACACTTTTTCATATTCAACACCAAATTTGATTCTGCACATTATTTACGCATAGTAGTTAAATGATTTGGGCAAGAGTCTAAGGTGGTGTCAAAAACAAAAAAGTCATCCATAAATATCTCGATGTACTGCTCTATCAAATTTTAAAAAATAGATATTATACAACGTTAAAAAGCTGCATGGAATTATACAAAGCCCAAAAAGCATATTTCTAAAGGAAAATGTTCCATAATGACCGATGAAGGTGGTCTTGTCTTAGTTTGAGGTGCTATAGGAATTTGGTGATATCATGAATATCTATCTCAGGAATAACAAAATGAATGCATTATCAATCTATCTTACATCTAATCAATAAATGATAAAGAAAAATGATATCTCCTATTAGCCTTATTCTTATTATCTTGGACAGTTGATTAATGGATGCTCTAATAAATACCATCGACTAAGGGATTATCATGCTCTCTAAGAGTACTAGGCGAGTCATGCTCTTAGTTTATTTCGACCATTGCTACATCACCCAAAAAAATTGCACAAATATATGCAAGAAAATATTAATACAAATTTTCACTTAACATGTAGCCATGTATTGTGCTGTAAATGATGAATATTTATTGATAAAAGAAAAGAAAATTTGTAGATAAGTTTAATTTATTTTACTTATTAAAGCTAATTAGAAGCTATGTTGTTTGTTTTAAAATTTAATTTGATGAAATTTGAAAAGTTTTTCAAAATATAGATATTAGGCCTGTTTTGTCTCAATGCAATATGGTATGACCTGTTTGTCTATCTGTGAATTATATTGGATTGGGTTGTGATATATTGCATATAAAATATAACATTGTTGTGTGATGCGTGGAAGGCTAACTAGTTACAAGCTAATTCAGGTGAACATGAGTAAGATACCCTATAAAAGAGAGTGAACTGACATGATTTCATTTAAATTATAAGCTTGTAATATAAATTATGTAATCCAATACAATATATAAGATATAATATAAATAGTTATAAGTGGACAAGATATATCAATGGATAAGAGTGAAGACTCTTGCATGATAATCATATGACATTGGCACATGATATGATATAACAAGATAATACAAGATATTAAAAATAGCATATGATTAGTTGGATGTCTTAACTTGTCTTAATATGAATGAATATATGCATACATTATATGATGACTAGAAATAACATAAAAATGCATAAACTTTATAATATATAAGTAACAAGGCATTTAATATGATACATAAAAATGATATATAATGACATAAAGTTATACATATAATATATGAGATTAATTCATTATATAAATAACATTATAATATATATAAAGAATATTCATGATGTTGACATGCATTGATAAATAATAACTCAAATATCAAGTGTATTACTTCATTTTATTCTTATGATAATCTTATTGTAGCAATGTTCTTAACATCTCAGGATGGAGCCGAGTCAATTATTATTTATCCATCGTGATTATGATTGTTTATGATTCATACTATATACACTAATCATTAATGTTCATATTGCACAAATCACATTCACATTGTTTGATAAGACATACTATATTAATATGATATGAATATTTACATGCATATTGTTATGGTTTTCTTATATTAGGTACAATGATAGATTCTGATAACCAATTGTGCGTCAGCTAGTTATATGGTTTTTCATGATTTTAAAGAAGAGTAAGGACCTAATAGAGTGAAACACATGGAATTTTGAATATTGACATTTCTTTTGTTTTATGATTCATTTTTGTAACAATGAAAATGTGTGAGAGTTAGGTGATTTAATATGCAAGAAAATATTTCTTTTGTTCTTTTGTTTTATTTTAGTATGTTTCGACCATTGCTACATAACCTAAAGAAATTTACACGAATATATGCAAGAAAATATTAATACTTTTTTTTAAAAAAAAAAATATAGCCATGTATTGCACTGTAAATGATGTATATATATTGATAAAATGAAAAAAAAAATTGTAGATAAATTTAATTTATTTATTGATGTTAATTAGAAGCTCTATTATTTGTTTTAAAATTTAATTGGATGAAATTTGAATGATGAAATTTGAAAATTTTTCCAAAATGTATATATTAGGCTTGATTTGTCCCAATGCAATATGATATGACTTGTTTGTTTATATATGAATCATATTGGATTAGGTTGTGATATATTACATATAAAATATAATATTGGTGTGTGATGCAAGGAATGCTAACTAGTTACAAGCTAATTAAGATGAATAGGAGTAAGATACCATGTACAAGAGAGTGAGCTGACATGATTTCATTTAAATTATTAGTTGTAATGTAATCCAATACAAGATATAAGATTTAATATAGATAATTATAAATGGACAAGATACATCAATGGGTAAGAGTGAAGACTCTTGCATGATGGTCACATGACACTGACACATGATATGATATAACAAGATATATAATATAATATATTAAAAATAACATATGATTAGATGGATGTACTAACTTGCCTTAACATGAATTAATATATGCATATATTATATAATGACTAGAAATAACATGAAAATTCACAAGCTTTATGATATATAAATAATAAGGCATATAATATGATACATAAAAATAATACATATTGTCACTTATATGCATATAAATATAAATGTGTTATGCATATAATATATGAGATTAATCCATATTATATAAATAATATTATAATATATAGAAAGAATATTCATGATGTTGACATGCATTGATAAATAATAACTCAAATCTCAAGTGTATTACTTTATTTCATTCTTATGATAATCTTATTATAACAATGTTCTTAACATGTCAGGATAGAGCCGAGTCAATTATTATTTATCCATCATGATTATGATTATTTATGATTCATACTATGTATATTGATCATTAATGTTCATATTGCGCAAATCACATTCACATGATTTGATAAGACATGCTATACTAATATGATATGAATATTTACATGCATATTGTTATGCTTTTCTTATATTATGTGCAATTGTAGATTCTGGTGACCAGCTGTGTGTCTGCTCGTGATATGGTTTTTCATGATTTCAAGAAAGAGTAAGGACCTAATAGAGTGAAACAGATGACATTTTGAAGATTCATATTTCTTTTGTTTTTTTGTTCATATTTTGTAACAATAAAAATATATTGGAGTTAGATGATTTGAAAGATATATTCATAATTAGTATAAATTATCCTTTTAAAATAAAATATAAATGTTTTGACTATATGAAAATGAAAAATTTATTTTGTTTGCATATTATTTTTATTCGAAAGATTATGAGTAAAATATTTAAAACATACAATCATTTCAAATTAAATTATAAGACTTAACCACAATAGAATAATTGTATAAATAGGAAGTAAATATGAGTTTCAAGAAAATAACTTAAGGAAGTGGTGATATTGTATTTTAAGGAGTTATTGGATAAAGATCGTGCCAGATAATCACAAAGGATCATCGTAAAAATAGATAGAAAGTTACAAAGATCTCACAATCTTGTCGAAACTGAATAATATTGATTTTGTAGAAATAAGATATGCTAATAAAAACTATAATGTATTTTAAATAAGAGTTAAATATTGTATATATATTAAAAAGTAATTATATATAAAACATTAAATACATATTTTATTTCCTTTTATAATATAAAAAATGTAACAAATAAAATAATTTAAAAGGAAAAATTAAAGATATTTAAATGATAATTTAGACTTTATTTTTATTATCATTAATATTAACTGTTGATTAAATAAAAATATAATTTATCAAAGTTAACATATTTATAATATATTATTTATCAATTCAATATTTTTTTTTTGTAGGTAAATATGATAACCTATTTATAAATGTAGCACAAACTATTTTTTTTATAAATTTGTCATAAATTGAATTAGGGTTCGTCCGATCCTATGGATAGAAGCGGTGGTTGAGGCTCCCATCAAAATA